TCTGTTAAAAGACCAGCAGACCGATTAACACAGATTTCCCCCTCCCCCCAGTGAGAGAGAGTTGTGGGGGGGGGGGGCGGGGGAGGCGGAAGAAGGCAGTGCCACCCAGGAGGGAAACACAAAAGTCTAAGGGGCACTTTTTATGCAGCACTAAGTGAGTACAGCAGCTTCGTGGGGGCTGGGTGGATGGAGGACACCGAGCTCACTGTCACCAGCAGAGGGCTTCCCTGTGTCCGGCTGGGTGAGCTTTGTCCGGTTGGGTCAGCACACGCACATGGCCGCTTGGCCACAGCAGTTACACCCATCAAAGCTCAAAGTCTAAAGTCAGACCCTGTTTGCCAGAGTAAATTTGAGGTGGGGAAATTCTCTACACATGGAGGGCGGGGGAGGGGATTCAAAAGAGACCCTCCGTTTCTCCCGTCCACATGTCCACACACAGTCTAACGATCGTTGTGGTTGGCCCAGGTCCTCATCAGTGGGAGAGGCAGTGGACGGCCTCCTCTGGATCAGCCCGTTGTCGCCCTGTCTGGAATTTCCTCTGTCGGGGCAGGCGGTAGGCCAGCTGCTCCCTGGGCAGTGTTGATGGAGAAGCTGCAAGTGACAGGTCATGTGACCGGTCATATGCAGCCACCTATCTCTCTCCACCCCCCACCCCCCACTGCTCCTCCCAGCCTTGTGTCATCCCCATTTCACAGATAAAGAGACAGGACCACAGGGCCCTGTTTATAGGCCGTCCCCCGAGGTCACACAGGTCGTGGCAGAGTATAGATTCAAACATGGGTCTTTGGACCACACGTCTCCCTTTCCAAGCGGGTCAGGTTTTTGGCCGCTTTATCAATTATCTTCCCCCCACCCCCCACAAGATCCTGGCTTCAGTTTCAGATCTTTCTCTGTTAGCCCATGAATTGAATTTTTCATAGTAAGTAGTGTAGTGGGTGAGAATTGGGCTGTTAACCAGAGAGTCAGCAGTTCAAAACCAGTTTCTCTTGGGAGAAAGAAGAGGCTTTCTCTTCTTGTAAAGAGTAGAAGTTTCAGTAGCCCACAGGGGCAGTTCTACCCTGCCCTTATAGGGCCACTGTGAGTCGGAATCGACTCTGCGGCATTGAGGGTTTTATGGTTGGTTGGTTTGAGACTTCTCTGTGGTACCCTGGCAGCATGGTATTAAACACTTAGCTGCTTGGTTGTTTGTTCAAATCCACCAACCGCTGCCTACTGGAAAGATCTGTGGCAGTCTCCTGTCGTGGTGAGTATCGTCTTGAAAATCATACGAGGCTGTTCTTCTCTGTCCTATAGGGCCGCCCAGAGTCAGCATCAACTCGGCAGTAACGGATAACAGGGTATACGGCTCTGGGTCATTTCTCTGCTCTATCCATCAGTTTATATTTAAGAATTGAAAGTCAAATATAAACTATATCTTAACAGAAAGATTCATATGTATGTAGTTTTATATATGAGGGGCTTCACAATATGCATGGAGAATTTGCCATATTGTTTTCTGGAGCCTCCTTGTCTGCATATGTGTGTGCAAGTTGAGTTGATCCTAACTCACAGAGGCCCTATGGGATGCAGTGGGACCACCTGGAGGATTCCTGGGCTGTAGGAAATTGCCTGATCCCCTTTCCCATGGGCCTGCTGGTGGAATTAAACGTTGACCTTTGTGCTGCACCATTAGGGCTCTTTGTATATCCATGTGATACATATAGAGGTAAATTTATTCATCTACCTATGTAACATATTCAAGGGCTGCACCTGTAGGCTAGCATCTGCAATGGATACGTTGTAGTCTAGGGCTGCACAGGTAGGCTGCGGTTTTTGCAGGTGGACCATGGACCGTTTTTTAAAATCCATCTTTTTCAGTTCTCCCTTTTCAGCAACAGTGGAACCTAGCCATTTCATGGTGATGTTTAATCAGTGTTTCTGAGGACGGACTTGGTCTGAGTGGGTTGATAAGGAAATCTGTTTTGAAGGGAGAACT